CGACGAGAGCCTCCAGAGAAAGGCAAGGAACCACCTCTCGAATCGACGACGCCGTCGAGGTCGTCAAGCGTGTCGCCGAGACTGCACCGATGCTGCCGTGCGGGGACCTCCGGGCGCTTTGGGGGGCCCTTTGCCGCAAGGGGGTCGACCCGAAGAGATTCGAGGGTCGAGGCTTTCGAACGTGACTGCTCCTTGTCGGCCTCTGCGGGCCTTCGGCGGCCTCGGGACCTCTTCCTTTTCCTCCTCCACCTTCCACCCTCTCCTCCTACAGTCGGGGCACTGAAGAAGGAACCCTTTTCGTTGGGGAGGGGCTGGGTGTTCCTTGATTGTTTCAAAGTTTGTCTCGGGTTCTTCTGAGGTTTTCCATGGGGAATCGAGGTTGCACTAATGGGAAAAAGGGGTCTCGTTCTTTATTTAGGGTTCCTTAGGTCAACGTCCCGACTGTACCCCCCCCCGTCTGATCAAAAAACGGTATGCGCCTGGAATTTTGAACGCTTGTCTGCAAAACTATTCGTTTTTGCTGCGTTTCCACGAAAGAAGAGTCGCCACACCAGCATTCCCACCTCCTGCCTTCTAGGCCACACGCGCCTCATACTTGCATAACATAAGAAGGGAAAACACTAAAAAGAGCCGCATCAGTATTCCCACCTCCTGCGTGCTCGGCCACACGCACCTCAGACGAAGCACTATCCCTCATGCTACCTCTTCGCGATTTCTATTCTCGCGTCGCCGCCTGCTGTCATTTTCTTCGTACCCCGACTGTGCTAGCTTCGATAGTTCCATTTGTGGACTTGCAACATCAACGCACCTACGCTTGCTTCCCAAGACGCGCCCCCACATGTTGCCCGGGATCGCAGGCTCGAGGATGTCCAGGCGATGAGGCTACCATGATGATGATGCTGATGAAGATGATGATGATGATGCTGAACATGATGATGATGCTGAATATGGTGATGATGATGCTGATGCTGCTGATGATGAGGACTATGATGATGCTGATGATGGAGGGAGATGAGGGTGGTGTTGATGATGGTGATGGTCATGGTCATGGTGATGGTGGTTGCGGTGATGATTATGCTGATGATGATGAGAAGGAGGGGGAGGAGGTTCGACACATTCCGCTTTGAAGTCATGCAATAGATTCTGCAAGCAGCCATCATGACGATGATGATGATGATGCTGATGATGATGCTGATGATGATGCTAGTGATGCTGATTATTAGGACGATGATGATGGCGATGGTGGTGGTGATGATGAGGACCCGGTCGATGATGATGATGATGATGATGATGATGATGATGATGATTAGGTTAATGATGATGCTTTTGATGATGATGATGATGATAATGATGAGGATGATGATGATGCGGACGATGATGATGACGATGATGACGAGGACGATGACGATTATGATGATGGTGATGATGTTGCGGATGCAAACGGTTATGTTTTTGTTGATAATGATGACGATGATGATGATGATGGTCATGACGATGTTGATGCTGATTCTGCTGTCGGTGGTAGTGATGATGAGGATGATGAGAATGCTGGTTATTATGCTGATGCTGATGCTGCTGCTGATGATGATGATGATGATGATGAATATGATTCTGATGCTGATGATGATGCCAATGATTATGATGATGACGACACTGATGAAAATGATGATGCTGCTGATGACGACGACGATGATGAGAATGATGATGATGATGCTGCTGCTGCTGCTGATGATGATGATGATGATGATGATGAGCATGCTGATGATGCTGATTATGACGATGATGCTGATTATGCTGATGATGCAGTTGATGATGATGATGATGATGCTGATGATGATGATGATGATCATGATGATGATGATGATGATGATGATACACATGATGGTGACGCTGCTGATGACGACGATGATGCTGATAATTAGGATGATGCTGATGATGATGATGCTGATGATGATGCTGCTCATGCTGATGCTAGTGCTGATGCTGCTGCTGATGAGGGTAATGCTGATGTTGATGATGCCGTCGATGCTGACAGCGACGATGCTGATTATGATGATGATGATGATGATGATGATGATGATGATGATGATGATGATGATGGTGATGCTGGTTACGGTGATGCTAATGATGAAGATGATGATGATGGTGATGATGATGCGGATGATGATGATGATTTTGATGAGTCTGATGCTCTTGATGCTGATTATGACGATGATGATTATGATGATGATGATGATGATGATGATGATGATGATGATGATGATGATGATGATGATGATGATGATGATGATGATGATGATGATGATGATGATGATCCCCCCTCGGCGGACGGCGTGCGTCGCACAGCCCCCGCTCTGGGCAGGGGGAGGCACCCAAGCCCGCGATGAAACCTGGACCCGCACGACAACTGGGAGCACCAGGGCAACCAAGAGCCGCACGGGGACAACGGCACCCCTTAGGCAAGCCTAAAGGGCCGCTGCCCGCCCAGGAGGCACCACGGGTTTAGGCCCCACCCCTACCCCTCGCGCCCGAAGCAGCGCCCTCGCCCCGCTCGCCGGACGCCGCGGCCTCGCGCCGCTCTCGGGAGCGGCTCCGTGGCCGCCCTCGGCCCGCCAGGCGGGCGGGCTCCCCCAGCACCGCGCTCCTCGTTGGGTGGAGCCCTCGTCGGAGACGGCGCAGCCCCTCCAGCTGGCGCTCCGACGCTCGGCGCAGGCAGGGCTCGGCCAGCCCCATCACGCGCGCCGAGCCAGCGTTGCAGCCGCACACGTTGCAGAAGACCGTCGGGCCCGCCTGCATCAGGATGTGCGAGTCGTGGAGCGCCGCGTTCCACCAGGCTGGCTGCCCGACGGCTGCTGGGCCGACAACGGGGGCCTCCACTCCAGCGGCGCGCGCCTGGCCCCGGCCTCGGCCTCCGCCACGACCGCGGCCTCGCCGTCCTGGCCCTGGCGGGGCGGGGGGCGGCGGAGGCGCCTCGGCGGCGGCTGGCACCTCCGCTGCGGCGGACCCTCCGGCCAGCGTTCCTCCTGGGCTGGCAGCGCCCGTCCCCCTGCCTCGGCGGCCCCTCCTCGCGGGCGGGCTCACCCCCGCCGCCGCCCTCAGCCTCTTCGCGAGGGCGTGCCGCCAGCGCGGCGGCCGCCAAAGCGAGGACGGCTGCTCCCGTCGCTCCCGCGCCGTCGCCCGAGCCTCCGCTGCGGGCGGCCACTCGGCCCCCCTGCACGGGGGTGCCAGCGGCGGCGCAGACCCAGCAGCTCCAGCAGACCGTCTCGCCCAGCAGCAGCGCCGTTGATCAGGCGTAGGAGGAGGCGGAGGAGGAGCAGGAGCAGGAGATGGAGGAGGAGGAGGAAGAGGACGAAGAGGAGGAGGAAGATGCTGATGCTGATGCTGCTGCTGCTGATTGCCTTGGTGATGATGACGATGACGACGACGACGATGCTGACAATGATGACGAGGTTGCTGATGATGATAATGATGATGCTGATGCTGATGCTGATGACGATGATGATGATGATGATGATGATGGTGATGGTGATGGTGATGGTGATGATGATGATGATGATGATGATGCTGATGATGAGGATGTTGATTATTATTATCATTATTCTTATTATCATTATTTGTATTCTGATTACCAGCATTCTTATTCTGATGATGGATGATGCTTCTGCTGAAGATGATGACGATGATGATGATGATGCTGATGCTGATGATGATGATGATGCTGATGCTGATGCTGATGATGATGATCAGGATGAGGATGATGATGATTATGATGTTGATGATGATGATGATGATGATGATGATGATGATGATGATAGTGATGATGATGATGATGATGATGATGATGATGATGATGATGATGATGATGATGAGGAGGAGGAGGAGGAGGAGGAGGAGGAGGGGGAGGAGGAGGAGAAGAGCGAGGATGAGAGCGAGAGGGAGAGCGAGGAGGAGAGCGATGATGATGATGATGAGGAGGAGGAGGAGGTGAAGTAGGAGGAGGAGGAGGAATTATTGCGGTGAGGGTAGTCGCGCCGATCTGGGACGGAGCGGCTTGCAGATCCGAGCGCACTGGTCCCTGCCCGCGCTCTCTTCCGCCCCTGCCTCCTCCCTGCTCCGCTCGTGGCTCGCTGGGAGATACCCCGCGCGGGGACCGTCGGTTTCGTGAGACGTTTGCACGTTTTCGTCGTTTCGCGGCGTTTCTCAAGCTTAGGAAGCTCTCCAGCAGCTGCGCCTCGCCAAGAGCGTTCCCAGGGTGCCCGACTCGTCCCGAACTGCCGTCGGAGACCCGAAGTATTACCCGAAAGCCGAGTGGCCTGGGGAACCGCGCCGACGGCGTCTGCGACAACGTCTACGTCGGCGTCTTCGTTTCGACGATGTTTGGACGTTTCTGGGAGTTTTCGTCGCCATGGTTGGACGCGGCTCGGAACACTGGCCAGAGGAGGGATTAGAGGACTGATCTTGAGCGGATCTAGGTCAGAGGACGACAACAAGGTACGCATTATTGAGGCAGCTGGGTGGGGGGGCTCAGGATCCATCGCAGATTGCTTCTCCCCTTCCTCGTCTTTGAGTGTCAGTTTTTTTGTGTGCTCTGCTCATCTTCCTGTTGAGAGCGGTGTCTCACCTTTCTCAGCCTCAGGGTGGCCCACAGGAGCTCGTGGAGAAGCTCATCCAGGGGAAAGTGGCAACGCTTGATCGGGCCCTCGAAGAGAAGGATTCCCGGCGGGGTGCAGTACGGCTCGCGTTGCCCAGCGTGGAGCAGAGGTGTGAGCGGGTGCCTGCGAGTCTGGTAGAGAGGGGAGAGTGATCGGCGTCACCCCAACATACTTATACTATATGTGCGTCGCCCCCCCCAGGGGGGACGCGCGCACCGAGAAATCTTATCGTGTATGCGTCGTGGCGGGCGCTTTCTGGCCACACCGCTCGGGAAACGACATACTACAAGATGGGTATACCATATGTTCGGGTCGGACGCGCGCCTCCAAGGAGGACATCTGGTATTAGTATGTCCCTGTGCGTCCCAAGTGACGGCAGGATCGGATGAGGAAGGAGCCCTCTCTTGCGGGTGGCGCGCGGCACGCCGGCGCCTCCCCCGCTGGGCAGGCGGTCAAAACCTTTCTTGTGTGATCTGGCGCGCCTTCTCTGCGCATCCTGCGCAGTGCCCTGCGCTCGCCCGCACCTTCGACGGCTGGCTCCTTCGCCTCCCTATTCCTTCTCCTCCTCCTCCTCCTCCTTCTCCTCCCGTTGCTTCTGGCGTGTCGGCCTCTCTCGGTGTGCTCGCCAGCCAAGCGACTGGATCACCTCGGGCATACAGCCCAAACGCTGGAGTGAGCTTCTTAGTGTTAGGATTCTTCTTGTTATTCATATATCAGTGTCCACAGACATCCGCCGATCCGCGGCTCCTTAGGTTCCGACCGCCTTCCTGGCGACAGTCTTTCGTCCCGGATCCATGTTCGATGGTCCCAGGGCGCGACAGTGGGCCCCCGAGGGCCGAAATCGAAAAGAAGCCAACGGTTGAAAAGAGGTGCAGGTACGACTCGTAGATAGTTGCCTGTGTCTGTGGCGGGGAGAGGCGAAGCACGTGCGACGGCCAGCCTGTTCTCAGGGATAACGTCGAGGAAGGATTGGCTCAGGGGGAGATGCCTCGACCCCCGCTCGCCCACTGATCGCCCATAGGGGTCCGACAGCCCACCCCGCCCAGGACCCTGCGGATTCGCCATCGGGGGCCTGCCGCCGATCTGTCGGCGGTGCATCGCTGATGCCAGCTTTGCGTTCTCCCCCCGAGCTGGCCGCCCCCCTGCGGTCGGAAACTTTGGCTTGGCCCGTCGCGTCGCTGGTTCTGGTCCACCAAGCCTTGGCGCGACACGCTGACCACGTCCCGGTCCTCGGGAGTCAACGCTCTGAGCTTTCCCCAGTCTCCCGCCCCGCGAAGCGGAGCGACACGCCATCCGCGCGCAGGGCACTGGGCACAGCGTGTCGCCGTGGCCGCCGCCGCGGCACGCTAAACAACAGTTCCTGACGGTACCTCTAGGCCTCCCCAATGGGGTCCGAGTAGATGGAATCGGAGGATCGTGCCCTATCGTCGATGCATCGGCGATGCCGCGCGGTGTGAAAGCCGATGTTCTCCACGTCGACGTCGCCGATGCATCGCCGACGTTGCCGATGAATCGCCGATGCGTCAGCGATGCATCGGCGATACGGCGTGATCCTCCGACCTCATCTACTAGGACCCCATTCGGGAGGCCTCTGGAGGAGGAGGAGGAGGAGGAGGAGGAGGAGGAGTAGGAGGAGGAGGACCAAACCCAAGCTCCCTCTTTATAATGAGGCCCCTACAAGGATTCCTTTCAACTGGGAAAACTGCATCGTTTGAAGACAACCGTTTGACGATCCTGAAGCATGCCAAAACATAATTCTCGGCACTCCAGCGCCTCATATCAAGTTGACTTGTGCGCCTTGACGATCCGGAATCGTGCCAGAATGCCATTCCTGGGACTTCAGCACCGCGAGCCAACGTAACTGTTGCACCCTCAACCCTGAAATATTTCCAAACACCATGTCTCGTACGTTGACCATGGGAATCCGTGAAGCTCTTGCACTCTTTAATCAGGAATGTGCGCGGCGCTAAGGCGAGAGACACATTTTGAAAAGGAACCGCCCTCAATCCGTGAAAATCTTGCAATTTTGAATAACGAATGTGCGCGGCGCTAAGGCGAGATCCACATTTTGAAAACCACTCGCCCTCCATCTGTGAATCTGTTGCCACTGTTTAAGCTTCAGGGTCATCAGTGGTGAGGAAGGCTCAGGCGATTCGCCCGGCCCTTCCTTTCGACGGGTGCGACAGGGAGAAGCTATTTATAAGGAACAGGAGTGGAGTAGGAGGAGCAGTAGTAGGAGTAGGAGTAGGAGTAGGAGTAAGAGTAGGAGTAGGAGTAGGAGTAGGAGTAGGAGTAGGAGTAGGAGGAGGAGGAGGAAGAGGAGGGGGAGGAGGAGGAGGAGGAGGAGGAGGAGGAGGAGGAGGAGGAGGAGCAGGTGGAGGAGGAAGAGGTGACGAGGCCCCTTCATTCTCCACGTAATGATTGCGGCCTGCCCGACGAGGCCCGCCGACACGGCTGGGGAGCTGGTCGGGCACCCGTGCCTCTCTGCGCTGGTATCTCGCGGCCTCTGGGCGCGTGCGCGGTGGCTCACCGTCGCGGCATGCCGCCCCTGCGATCGATGCACTCGCCATCTCCAGGCTCGGCGTTGAGGTCAGGGGGAACGGCAGGGGGGCGTGGCTCTTCGGACATCTCAGAAGGCTGAGATGCGCCCCCCCCTCCAACTTTGCCACTTGCCCCTCATTTCCCACGCCAGGCCAGCGGTATGCTCGAGCGGGCCCGCCGGTACGGCCAGGGGGGCTGCTCGCGACCCTCGGTGCCTCTCTGCCGCTTGCGTCTCGGGGAGCGCGCCCCTTCCTCGCGTCCAGGCCCAGACGATCCGCAGATCTCCGACGTTCTGATTTTTCCCCTGCACTCCTGTGTTTCGAGTCCGTTAGGAAGAGCGCTGCTCGCGCGTCTCCTTCCTTCCTCCCGCCTCCTCCTCCTCCTCCTCCTTTTGCCGCCTGCCGCCTGCCTGCCGGTCTCACTACCTACGTGCGCGTGTCTCCACTCAACCATTGTGCTTTCCTAGGAGGTTGCCAATTGGGCAAATGTCGCCACTCTTGTGGGGTCCTGGGAGGTCCATCGGCGTAGATTATCATCGCAACATGTTCTTGTATGGAGCCTTCATACCGTAGCACCCCGCAGATGCGGATGAGAGTGAGGGGGTTGGTGGGGGCGTCGGTAGTTTGCGAGGCTCTGGAGAAGCCCCCCGCAGGCGCCACAGTTTTGACAAATTATGCAACGAGCCCGCCGCAGGCGCCGATTTTTCCATTAAACCAATGTGGGTAGGTCTCGGGTGGGTCGCGGGTGGCTCGCAAATGGGTCGCGGGTGGGTCGCGGGTGGGTCGCGGGTTGGGTCGCGGGTGGGTCGCGGGTGTAGAGGACAGAAAATCCACTCCATAATAATCAATACCACAAGCGAAGCCGTTTAGTAAACGCACACAAGGGATGAAAGTAAACGCCAAGGGCCGTTTAGTAAACGTCAATTGTCGGGTCCGGGTAGTTTCTCCTCCCTCGAGGGTGGGTCGCGGGGTGGGTCGTGGGTGGGTCGCGGGGTGGGTCGCGGTTGGGTTGCGGATGGGTCGCGGATGGGTCGCGGGGTGGGTCGCGGGTGGGTCGCGGGGTGGGTCGCGCGCGGGGTGGGTCGCGGGGAGGGTCGCGGGGTGGGTCGCGGGCGGGACGACGACGACAACAAACAACAACAACAGCAACAACAACAACAGCAACAACAACAGCAACAACAACACCAACAACAACAATACCAACAACAACCGCAGGAACAACAACAATAACCACACCAACCGCAGCAACAGAAACAACAATACTTGCAACAACAACCGCAGCAGCAGAAACCAACAACAACACCAACAACACCACCACCAACAACAACAGCAGCAACAGCAACAGCAACAACAACAGCAACAACAACAGCAACACCAACAACACCAACAAAAGCAACAACACCACCACCAACAATAACAGCAACAACGCAACAAGCAGAATTCTCACACATTCCCGATTCAGCCACGCACCCAGGGACAATGAATGACCGTTCGACCCCCTCACGCTTATGAGTAGTCGCCTCGCGTGGAGAAGGGATTAGATACGTCTCGACGAATTCATCAGTCCCGGCTTTTTTCGTGGATTTCGGCCCCCTGGTGGCTGTATCTTGGCCCTGGGACCATCAGAAATGGATCTTTGACGGAGAGCTACCACCCAGGGAAGCGGTGGGGACCCTGTAAGACAGCATGTCGAACATCATATCGTCTGATGTCACGGTCTCTATCTGTTGTATTGTTCCCAACCATCCTGCGGTGCTGGGTCCTCGTTTTGAAACGAGAGAGAGGGAGAGAGAGAGAGAGAGAGAGAGAGAGAGAGCGCCCCGCGTCTCTCCTCCCTCCTCCCATCCCCGCCTCGGCACTCCACATATCCATGTCGGCACACCTCCATAATGCTTGGTGGTCCAATAGGAGCTCATCCAAGACCCTAGAGGGAGGTTTCGCATGGCACCGCCGCCCCCATTTCGGCACACCCCTCAGACGTTTCGTGGCCCCATAGGGAGCTTTACGTAAGGCCCCAGTGGAAGGGTTTGCATGGCACCGCCGCCCCATGTCGGCACACCCCTCAGACGTTTCGTGGCCCCATAGGGAGCTCTACCTGAGGCCCCAGTGGGAAGGTCCGCATGGCACCGCCGTCCATTTTGGCATGCCCCTCAGACTTTTCGTGACCCCAAAGGGAGCTCAACCTGAGGCCCCCGTGTGAGGGTTCGCATGGCACCGCCGCCCCATGTCGGCACACCCCTCAGACGTCTCGTGGCCCCATATAGGGAGCTCCACCTGAGGCCCCAGTGGGAAGGTCCGCATGGCAACGCCGTCGATTTTGGCATGCCCATCATACCTTTCGTGACCCCAAAGGGAGCTCAACCTGAGGCCCCCGTGGGAGGGTTCGCATGGCACCGCCGCCTCATGTCGGCACACCCCTCAGACCTCTCGTGACCCCATAAGGAGCTCCACTTGAGGCCTCCGTGGGAGGGTTCGCATGACACGGCCGCTCTGTTTCGGCACACCCATCACACCTCACACGCTTCGTGGCCCCAAAAGGGGCTCCACCTGAGGCCTCAGTGGGAGGGTTCGCATGGCACCGCCGCCCCATTTTGGCACACCCCTCAGACCTCTCGTGACCCCATAGGGAGCTCCACTTGAGGCCCCCGTGGGAGGGTTCGCATGGCACCGCCGCCCCATGTTGGCACACCCCTCACACGCATGGCGGCCCCGCCCCGTATCGGCACACCCTTCGCGCGCTTCGTGGCCCCACGAGGAGATCTACTGAAGGCGATATTCACAACGACGGTACTCACAACTGCATGTGGTTGGGTCGTTCGCAAGGATAACAGATGCTCAATCTGTTTTTCGCTTTATTGTCGATTCCGGCCATCGGGAGCCGTTTTCGGGCCCCCGGGCCACACCAAATAGTTTGGGCCGGATACTCCAGATTTCGTAATAAAAGGGAGGGGGTCTGGACCCTCCCAGACGAGAAGTTTTAGACCCCCCCCGTGGGAGAACCCCCCAAAACATCGTCCCCAGACCCCCCCAGGCCCTCCAAGATAGCCTGGAAGAGACCCCCCCCGAAATGAGACCCCCCTCCCTTTATTACGAAATCTGGAGTAACTACCCCCAGGGAAGCGATCGGGGCCTCTGAGGCCGTGGCCAGAACATTCGGAGGCCTCGGGCGGAGGTCGCAGCGGAATAGAGAGCTCCCCGACAGGAGATCGGTTTCGGTTTCGTGCTCGTGTCGTGCGTGCGGGCGAGGCGAAGCAGCTCGGGCGCGCGGGAGGAATGATCCCGCCGTCGCTAGGGCAATGCGGATGCAGCCCGCCCTGATTAGCAGGTCGACCCTGCCAGCTCAAGGGTACCCCTGTGTCCTGTGCCTCGCGACACGAGCCTTCTCACACTCCGATGGCGATGTGGCCTTCGGAAGGGTCTCGTGTCCTCTCGCGTGTCCTGTCCAATCAGGTCCGACTGCACAGTGGACCGCCCCTCCGCCCCCCGTCGGGCGCGCGGTGGCCCTGGGTGTCCCGACGTGGTGTCCCGTTGGTGTCCCGTTGGTGTCCCGCTGGTGTTCCGTCGGCGGTGGGCGGGCGGTGGCCGCGGGTGTTCCACCTTGGTGTCGGTACACGTTGTTCATGTCTAATTATTCGGAAGTTCTTCGATTTTTTTGGGGCCAAGATCCTTTCATTTCTGATTGTTTTATCCTGGGCCTCTTCCTGGCCACAAGGGGGCCAGGAACAATTAGAAACGAGCACAGTTAGAAATGAGCACGATTAGAAATGAACGACGTGTAGTGAAGTCGATAGTGAGATCGATACTGGGATTGCTGGAATGGGATGGATAGTTATATCAGACATGAGATCGGCAGTGAGGTTAATTGTGGCACTGTTTGTGAGATCGATCGCGAGACCGAAGGCGAGATCGATGGTGAGAACGATAGTGGCACCACATCGCAGCGCAACGTCGTCATCATCACACCCATCGCATTTGCCAGCAGTTGGTTCTTTCCCCCCGAACCCCCAACCCCATGATCAACTGAAGGGTGGCCGTACAGGTATCACAGCGGCCGATGTCCGGGCATGCTGTCACGATTTCGGGCTGCTCTGGAGCCGCGGTCTTCCGCTGCAGGACAAGGAGATCGAGGAGCTCAGGCAGAGGGTCACGTCGGTCCAGAGCGAGCACAAGTCCGACATCTCAACCCTCAGGAGGGTTCGCGGGGCCTCTGCCGCCGTCGCCCCCCTGCCTTGCCCTTCCCTGCCCCGCGCTCCTCTCCCATGCCTTTTTTTTTTTGTTTTCTTTTCAATCTGCGGCCTCGAAGGCCCCGACCGCTTCCCTGGGGGTCCCGCTTGGGGCGCCCACACATCTGGCGCATCCATCTCTTGATGCGTGGAGCCCTGGAGGCCTGGACACTCTCCATATGGGGCAGGCTTGTCCTCCTGCGCCGTTCGTTGACGGCCCCTGGGCCCAGCGACTGCGGAGGCCGAAAGTAGCTCCACACCGGCCGCTCCGGTTTCGTCGGAGCCTCCGATCTCTGGGGATCTGGCCCCCCCAGGGCATGTTTCCGGGCATTCAGAGCGAGCGGCAGGCGCAGGAGGAGCAGAAGCGGGGCGGCGCCCCGGTGCAGGCCTCGACGGAGATGGCGTCGACGCCCACGTCCACGACGACGTCGCACGCCGGCGGCGGTGGCAAGCCGCGACTCCGGCGGCGATGGTCATGGCGACGGCGTCGGTCAGGTTGCGGATAGCGCCTCGAGGGTCGAGGTCCTCGGACGTTTTCGTCTGTTCTCGGCTGAGCGACCTTGCATAAAGAAATGCAAGTGGCACGTGTGCCGTGGCTCTTGCGCAATAAGGAAGGGGCGCGCTGGCTTGTGGGTGGGTGGGTGGGTAGGTGGGTGGGTAGGTGGGTGGGGGGGGCGTAATGAAGGGGGGGCGCGCTGGCTGGTGGGTTGGGGGGGGGGTGCGGACGGCGCGCTGGGGCGCGCAGGGAGGGAGTGGGGGTCGTGCAAAAATAAAGGTGTCGCGGGGCGGAGGGGGCGCGCTGGCTGGTGGGTGGAGAGGATGCGGATGGGGTGTGCCGTGCCGAAATAAAAGGGGTCGGGGCGGAGGGGCGGATGGGGTGTGCCGTGCCGAAATAAAAGGTTCGGTGCGGAGGGGCGCGCTGGCTGGCGGGTGTGGGGGGGATGCGGAGGGGGTGTGCCTTGCCGAAATAAAGAAGTCGGGGCAGAGAGATGTGCTGTACCGAAATAAAGGTGTCGGGGCGGAGGGCGCGCCGGCTGGTGGGTGGTGGGGGTGCGGATGGGGTGTGCCGTGCCGAAAAAAAAGGGGTCTGGGCGGAGGGGTGTGCCGTGCCGAAATAATTGCGCCGTGCCGAAATAAGATGGGGTCGGGGCGGAAGGGGCGCGCTGGCTGGTGGGTGGGGGGATGCGGGCCCGTGCCGAAATAAAGGGGTCGGGGCGGAAGGCGCGCGGGCTGGTGGGTGGGGGGTGCGGAGGCGGTGTGCCGTGCCGAATACAAGGGGTCGGGGCGGAGGGGTGTGCCGTGCCGAAATAGAAGGGGTCGGGGCGGAGAGGCGCGCTGGCTGGCGGGTGCGAGGGGGGGATGTGGAGGGGGTGTGCCGTGCCGAAATATCGTGGGGTCGGGGCGAGAGGGTGCGTGCCGAAATAAAGGTGTCGGGGCGGAGGGGCGCGCTGGCTGGTGGGTGGGGGATGCGGGGGGGTGTGCCGTGCCGAAATAAAAAGGGTCGGGGCGGAGGGGTGTGCCGTGCCGAAAAAGGGTCGGGGCGGAGGGGCGCGCTGGCTGGTGGGTAGGGGGGATGCGGAGGGGGTGTGCCGTGCCGGAATAAAGGGGTCGGGGCGGAGGGGTGTGCCGTGCCGCAATACAGGGGTCGGGGCGGAGGGGCGCGCTGGCTGTGGTTGAAGGGATGCGGAGGCAGTGTGCCGTGCCGAAATATCGGTGGGGTCGGGGCGGAGGGGTGTGCCGTGCCGAAATAAAGCGGTCGGGGCGGAGGGGCGCGCTGGCTGGTGGAATGTGTGGGTGATGGACGGGGTGCCGAGCCGAAATAAAGTGGTCGGAGCTCTAGACACCCTGTGCAAGATAATAAAGGGGTCGGGGAGGAAGGGCGCGCTGGCTGGTGGTGTGGGGGGGGACGTGGGGGGTGTGCCGTGCCGGAATAAAAGGGGTCGGGGCGGATGAGTGTGCCGTGCCGAAATACAGGGGTCGGGG